CGGACCATGAGTTCGAGCCCCATGTCGGGCTCTGTGCTGACCACTCAGAGCCTGGAGCCTGCTTGAGATTCTGTGTCTCCCTCTCTCCCTCTCTGTCAAAAATAAACATTAAAAAAAAATCACTGAATGCCTATGTTGGACAAGGTGCTATACTAAGTCCTTTATATACACTCTCTCAATCTGTCCCTCCCAGCAGTCCTATACTACAGTAGAACATTGCCACTGTTTTATAGCTGGGGAAACTGAGGTCCCAAGAAAAGCAACCCTCACTTCCTTTAAGAAGCCTTTCCTGGGGCGCCTGGGTGGCGCAGTCGGTTAAGCGTCCGATTTCAGCCAGGTCACGATCTCGCGGTCCGTGAGTTCGAGCCCCGCGTCAGGCCCTGGGCTGATGGCTCAGAGCCTGGAGCCTGTTTCCGACTCTGTGTCTCCCTTTCTCTCTCTGCCCCTCCCCCGTTCATGCTCTGTCTCTCTCTGTCCCAAAAATAAATAAACGTTGAAAAAAAATTAAAAAAAAAAAAAAAAAAAGAAGCCTTTCCTGACCTCTCCAAACCAGAGGTCACTTCTATAGCCTCACAGTATCCATAGTTCTGATCATTTTTTTTAGCAAGAGTGCATTTAATACATTTAACGTGCCGTGGTTATTGCCTTTGTATGCAATCAATTTTGTTCCTCTAAATAGAGTGCAATATCCTGCATATGAAAGACTGATTCTCTTATTACTTTCTTTCCTCAATAGTAAAGTGTGTTGTAAAGTGTTTTGAACATATTAGGGATCCACTAAGTGTTTATTGAGTGAATGACTGAATATATGATGAATGGATGAATCGGGGAAAAATGTCCCACTGAGAGAAAAGGGAAGGAGTGTGTGGGAAATTGGAATTTAGATGTGATGTTTCATTTGACCACCAGGTGTCACAAGTACACCAACTTTCAAATATTTTTAAAATATTTAACACGTTTGTTTTAAAATTCCATCAAGGGCTAAGTGAAATAAGCCATACAGAGAAAGACAGATACCAT